CCAGCTCTCTCTAACTTGCTTATGCCTTGTTGCTTTGCTTTCCTCTGCAGACATAACGGCCTTCAAATTACAATGTGAGGACGAGAACAAAGTCACGCATTTCAACAACGACATCTGGAAAGCGGACAGGTGCACAACATGCGTCTGCGATAGAGGAAATATCATCTGCAGTCAGATAGTCTGCGACCAACAGATAATGAACCCCAACTGTAAATCATGGGAGACCCCCCTGAATGAGTGCTGCCCCGTCTGCACAGACGGTGACATAATAGGTAGGTACACCAGGAGGGTCTGCATGGGGGCCGTCCCGACACCGCATTGGCGCTGCTGCATTTCAGTCAACGCTTGGCGCTAGCTTCATTCAGCATGCAGTAGCACGCATGACGCTTACTTCAGGAAGCCAATGACGCAAAATGTGACGACATCCTAAATTCTATCTTAAAGGACGCCTTAAACATGCCTAAAGGCACGCGAAAGAAAAAAAAACGAATCTTAACGTATGCTTAAGGCTTAAACAATTGATTTGTTTGTAATCGCGCTTCGAATTAACTACGGAATTAAAGAAAAGCTTTCCCTACGAACTGGGGTAAATAGGAATATCTTGCCTGCGCCATTTTTTGAACTTGGTAAGGGGGTGCGACGGACCTGACTTGCCGGACTAACAAGCGTTAACCGCCGCATTCAGCGATTTCTTAACCCCCCAAACTGACGTTTCAAGACCTGACCAGTATGATAGCTAGGATTTGACTTATTTGACTGTTTACTCTTCTGTTTGTGACAAAATTTAAAACGTTTGTTCATTGCTAATGACTGTTTTCTTTTCTTTTCCCCCAAACAGTGAAATTCCCAGGCGTAAGTGTGTTTTGTTTTCTTTTCAAGACAACGTACTTAAAACTGCAAATTAGGCCATCAACACGTATATTCCATAATTGATATCACACAAAGTACTGTAAAGAAGCAGTTCCATACTAAAAATATTAGCATGAATATGCAAATCCCAGACTGTTTGAATATCATTCCAGACTGGTCTGTAAGGGTAAAATAATCGAAAAGCAAAACTCCGAAGGAAATATATATTTGAGTATAGTCTTTTGTGAGAAAGAGCTGACAAATTAATACTTGCTTAAAAAGGTCCACCCGAGATAAAGTCGTTGTGTTGGGCTAACACTACTACTCTGTCACTTGTAGGGACCCAAGGGAGAGCCCGGTAATGCACTGATCGACGGTGAGGGATATGCTGGCGTAAGTATCATTTATCATTTTATGTCATCATCGTCCATCTTATCTTTGAACTTCACATGCACTTAAATCAAGCAAAAAAATGTACTTGTTCTCGTACACAAAAATGCGATAACGCTTTCCTGTCTAGATCTATGTGATTCTCATTTTAGTATTCAAAAGGTCTGTTTATATATTACTTGCTTGCTGCGTGATAACGATTTGCAACCATGTTTGAAATGAAGTTCTCTCTTCTCCACAATGATCTTCCTCGCAGCTTTATTTTAACGAAATGCGTTAGAAACGTACTCTACTTCAAAATCATTTCAATAAACGTCCATAATTATAACCTAATTTCCACCTTCTACCTCGAACCTGAGTGATAAAAAATAACTGAACTTACGGTATGTCGTGTTTCTTTTTCCCCCACAGTTGCAGGGACCAGCTGGCCCCGCTGGACCCCAGGTACGACCAATCGTCTTTCTGTTTAATAAGGGCACTGAAGCGATTTCATGGCTGGACTTAAGAAGTCAATTGTCTGTTTTTTTTAATGAAGACCTTTATTGCACATTTCTGCCACACTTGGCTAAGTACAGGTCACAACAAAACAATGTAAATTGACACGGTTAACAGATGCAAAATTAGCTAACTATCGTTATATAAATTCAACTTCTCGCTTTTCAGTTATTGTTGAAATAAAGGTACAGATCTGTTTTTCGATGGGTGGTTTGATGAAGTAAGTTGAATCAATCCTATCCCATATGAAGCATACTGATACCTGTGAGGCACAAATGTGATGTCACTGACGAAAAACGGTTGCTTGTTTCATATCATGGGCTGGTTCTGGCTATCTATTGGTGGTACCAAAAAGGACTCCTCACGTAGCCTGTTTTCGGGGCTATTTCAAACGCTTCAAGTATGAAAAGATGGCGACTATGTGCTAAGAAATCGTAGTAAATGTTGTTCATCCACATCCGTTAGTCTGACTAGATCTTTTCCTTTACTTCTAGGGCGAATCTGGACCACCTGGACTTCCCGGTAGCCGTGGACCACCCGGACCCCGGGTAAAAACCACTCCCCTTTTCTTGTCATAGCTTCTATATAAGGTAGAGGTAAAGGTAGGGGGCTAGGCACAGTACTGGAAGGCTAGGTGGAGCCCAACCCTCATCTTCCACCACCTTCCTTAGACAGATAGCTTCCATAGCTTTCGTTATTCCGTATATTTGTATATCACTATTATCAGGGCTCGATATACTTTTTTTTTCTAAATACCTGAACTGCAGTTCCCATTACCATTTCAATTCGTCAAAAAACTGGACTGTTCGAAAAAAAATGTTCTGAGTAGCTCCACTTTAAATTTTGACGTTCTTTGCCAGAGGCAGCTCTCCCTACTAGTGTTTGGGGATTATCACATACAAGTAAGCATCAGAAATTCCTGTACAGCCGTTCTTACACTAACCTGCATATGCAGATGCTTGTGGTATTTGGAGCCCTGTATTTAAATCACGTTCTAACGTACCAAAGTGTATTTTCGTTAAAACGTATAACTGGCCAGCTGTCTTTAGGAGCACAACACCAGGTCCGTTCGACTTTCAGCCGGGGTTTTGTCTTGCCTCCCTGGTCCAGACTTTATTTGTTTATAGTAAATTATACACGATGTCGTCCCCTTTGTATCGGAGCAGACCAAGGTTAAACTCAAGAGGGTGGGGTCGGCACACGATCACCTGAAATATCGGGCAGCACAAAAGAACGAGTAGCAGCTTACTGTAATTTGAAATGTGAAATAAAAGGACCTTTCGACGGATTGTTTTGTGTTAAACGATCACCGACATCGAATGGGTATCTCTTTGACCTAGTTAAACGTTAGGAAACCTAGTCATGAACGATTAGTAACTAGGGAATATGGCGAGATTTTCTTGAAGAATGACGAATGGAGAAGAGTTATGGTTTCTTTGGGTTTAGAGCTGGACATTGCGTTTAATCTTGTTTTGGAATACCATAACTGTTAAAATTTAACGAACCCCCGTGCCCTTCTCTCAGTCTTGTCTACACATTGTCCATAATCCGCAGACCCTCTTGAGATCTGACCCTGCCCGTTTCCCCCAACAAAAGCTGCGTTTGTTGGCGCTACGCTAAGCCCGTCATAGGTAGTTGAGTGCCAGCCAGGGCTGAGATTCCTCAGATTGTAGTGATAAACACAGGTGTGGGAGACAGTTAAAAGGCCGCCTGCCCGGCTTTGAACTCGCCTGTCGCCGTGGCTTTAGGCCGGACTTCCCCACACAAACCTCCGTCTAGAAAAGAACCCGTATTGACAGACGGACGTCGTCTGGTTCAAACATCTGGACGCCCCAGAGCTTACACTGACTCTGAACTTGTCAAAGAAGACATTTGCGACCGCTTCTATCATTGCTTTGATTATAATATTTG